TGTGTGTGTGTGTGTGTGTGTGTGTGTGTGTGGCTAGTTCAACCCACCAGGGGGCGGGGCTGGCTGACATGTGGTGCTGGGGGATTGAACCACGGTCCTTGTGCTCTGCTAAGCTTGTTCTAAGTAGGTGCTTTAGACCACTGAGCCATCTCACCAGCCCCCATAGTTTTAAATTTATTTATTTATGTATGTTGAGATAGTGTCATGCTGTGTAGTTCAGCCTGGCTTTGAGCTCACTATGGACCCTGGGTGGTTTTGAGCTCTCAGTGATCCTCCTGCCTCAGCCTCCCAAGTGCTGGGATTACAGGTGTGCACTATCACGCCTGGCACCATTTTTCTTTATGAGGCTGAGTAATATTGGGTTGTGTGGATAGGCCACATTGCTTCTGTCCATCAGTTTGTGTTGCGTCTGTGTTTTTACATTGTGAAAATGCTGCTGTGAGGTACACAAGTGTCTATTTCTTCTTGTTTTGCTTTGTATCCCTAGGGATCCGTGGCGGGTCAGATGGCGATTTCAGATTTACTGCTGCCTTCACTGACTGGTGCCCACCCAGTCCTCACAACACTCGCGTTTTTTGTGTTACTGGACTTGACCCTGGAATCTTCTCCCTTTCCTTTCAGAGGCCCCTGATGGTGACTGTGATCCGCAGAGGGGAGAGACAGCAGCTCCGCCTGGTCCCGACACGCTGGGCTGGCAAAGGCCTGCTGGGGTAGGGGTTGTCCCTCCGTTCATTCACACACAGGGTTGGCAGAGCTCTTCACACACCAACCTGGGGAGGCCCAAGTGTGACACCCGTGTCAGACACCTGTGCTGTCCCTGAAGCTGAGGTCGGGTGGAGGGGGCTCTGGTGGCTCCTGAGTCTCAGGTTCTTTCATCAATGGTGCTGGCTTTAAGTGAATGCCAAGATAAGCTGGGCATGGTGGTAGTCGGCTGTACTCCGAGCGCTGGGAAGGCTGAGGCAGGAGGAGCTCGGAGAGAGTTCTGGGCTAGCCTGATCTGCATTACAAGGCCCTGGCTCAAAAATGAAAAGCATGAGAGGATGTAGGGGAGCAGCTTGGAGGGGCCCGCATGCCGCCTCTCGTCAGGACCACTATGTCAGGCGCCCTCTCTTTTTCCTTGCAGCTGCAACATTGTTCCTCTGCAGAGATGACTGCCCCTGGGAGCAGCGGCAGCAGCAGCGCAGCTCTCCGAGCCCAGGACCTGGGCCCTCCACGCAGTCAGTCCCCCGTTCTCTTTGCCCCGTGAAGACCCAGGATCGTGTGGTGGCAGGCAGCGGCATCTTGTAGAAACACCATGTATGCTCGGCGTCTCTGAGCACTCGGCCTAAATGGGTTCTGGGGTTTGGGGCAGGTGGGCGGAGCTGTGTGGCAGGTGTCGACAAGACTGTTCTAGGAGTTTCTTTTCCCCAAATACGGCCCTGCAGGGTGGGGGTGAGCACCCCAGCTGAATTTCTCTTGAGCACCTCCAAGCTGAGAGGGTTAGAGAAGGGCTGGAACAGCATGAAGGTGTGCAAAACGAACCAGTGATATGCTGAGGCCAGGCTCTGGTGACGTCTTTGTCCCCAGTTTGGCTGCTGTGTACACGGAGGGCTGAGCAGCTGAGTGCAGCCTCAGAGGCTCAGGTCTTTGGGGCCCCAGGAAGCCCACAGCGGGTGGCGAGGCCCCTGCTCAGGAAGGAAGCGTATTCGCTGCTTCCAGCTTGACCTAGAACCAAATTCCCAGCCATATCCCAAGATCAGCATTTTGACAAACTAAGATATGCTTGTCACTGCTGATAGAAGGCTTACAGATCTGACTTCGAATACCATTTGCTTCCTTATTTTCTCTGTTAAGATTTGAGATCATTCCTTGGACCCTGTGTCTGCATCTCTCCCTCTGTGGTGTCTGCATGCTTATTGGCCCCCGTTTTGCAGACCGCTCCCTCTTGGAGAGGCCACTGCCCAGGACGCCTGTCCCCAGTGACTGCCCCGGCCTACCCAAGCTTCCCAGCGGCATTGCGCGCCCCCGCGTGCAGGCTCCACTCTGAAGCCTTCTGCCGCGCTCCCCCGATGGCGTACCAGCGGGGGAGCGCGCCCTGTTTACAAATGCACCTCGTTCAAGCTGCGTGCGCCAGTGCAAGTATTTTCCAGAAGTCCCAGGCTGCAATAAAGTCCGTACCCTCCACTTCCACGTCTTCCCGCCCGTTTCAAGATGTGTGTGTGTGTGTGTGTGTGTGTGTGTGTGTGTGTGTGTGGCTCAGCCGTGGCGGTGGGGTGTCGCCTGACTTTGGAGCTCGGGGTGCCCATCGGGTGTACTCCAGGAGATTCGGGTCCACATGGGGTGGCCCTACTCGACTAAACCAGGCTGGGTCTGCAGAAACGCCCTGAAAGAGCAAGATCATGCAACTTCTGTGATATTTCCAGCCAGCTAAAATTCACTGCCCTTACTGTTGTGTGAGCAAGTAGGACAGATACATGTGACATCTGTGGGGCCAGGAGTTGAAGTTTGGCATAGATGTTTGTGTTTGGTTGCTTTTTGGAGCTGAGGCGTCTAGCCCAGACTGGCCCTGAGCTCGCTGTGGCGCCCTGGCTGGCCTCGAACCTCCGCCTCCCGAGGGGTGGCCTGGCAGGTGTCTCGCCTCCACAGCGGCAGACACTCTTACTGAACAGTTCGTACTATTTCACCTAGGGCCGCCAATCCTGGAAAGTCCGAATTGCCAGTGTTGACTGCCACAGCGTCTCCGGCGGCACGTTGGGAAAGAAAGGAGACAGGAAATACCCTGTCAAGGTCAGGGCCCCTACCTCGGGGCACCAGTTCCGTGCCTGGCGACTGCTAGGGACGTGCTGGCACGCTGCTTCCTCGCTTTACGGCACGCCACGACGGCCTAGGCGGCGGTGGTTGCTATAGGGACGAAGCTTGGGTGGCAACCGTAGCTAGGGAGTGGGTAAAGGCTGAAGTGCTGGCTGAGGCTGTCGGGGAGGATCTGGACTGTTGAGGAACGAGGTTCGCACGCTCCGTAAGTGCAGGACGCTGGGACGGGGGTCCCTACCTGGCTGTGCGCCCTACAAACCTGCACCTCTGTCCCCCCATGCCCGTCCTTTCCCTGTAGCCGCCGGGCTGGCACCCGCCCATCCCTGGCCAGTCGGACTCCTGGAGCGACGGGGCACCTTGGTTTTCCAACTCTGCCATGGAGGCCGGGTCGGTTGGCCTCCTAAGGCGCCCAGCTCTGGTTCGCTGGGAGGAAAAACCGAGCGCCTGGCTCAGAGGGCTTTGGAACCTGATAGCTCCACGGAGTCGGAGCTGCTTTCAGCCCGGTAGGGGCCGCTGTGGTCAGTGCGCAAACCCTCTGGGCTACAACCTGTAGTGCTAATAGGGCGCCTGCGCTCGGTCGTTCTCACTCCACCTGTGAGGACATTTGGGCGCGGAGGGTGAAGAGGCTTGGCCAAAGTCTCGGAGCAGGCGAGGGGCAGAAACGGGACTGGGCGCCGGGCTTCCGGCACCCCTCGCCTCGGGGCCTCCTCTTTCCCGCGTTTGGAATTGCTAGTAGTGCCTGGGGTGGATTTTGCTGCTCCTGGGGACAAGAACACATTTAAATGAGTTAGGATGCCCGAGGTTAATCCTGGGACGGTAAGAGGCTGTGGGGCTTTCCCAGCACGTAGCATTCGTTTCATCCCCGGGGAGAAAAACCAGAGCAGGCATCTGTAGCTGGGAAGTCAGAACGGAAAGCAGGCCTGCTGATTGCTGTTGGCGCGTTTTCTCTAAAGGAAACGGCACGGAAGAATGTCAGACGGAGAAGAAAATTACCCAGAGGATAGTGGAGAAAAAGAAACAGAAGACAGAGAATATAATGAAAGTTATAACGACGTAGAAAACATGCAACAGAAATCACCAGATGACACTTCGGGACCGAGAGAGTCCCAGGAGGCAGAAGGAGAGGAGGAGTGGATGGAGGAACAGCAGGAGGAGGATGAGGGAGAGGAGGAAGAGGAAGCAGGGGAGCGGGGGGAAGAGGAAGACGAGGAAGGAGAGGAGGAGAAGCAGGAACAGGAGAAGCCTGAGGCAGAGGCAGAGGCCAGCGAAGCCCAGGAGGAGGCCGAGGCAGCCCAGGAGGTCATGACAACGCCACAGTACAACCTGCTGGGCACCTTCCTGGTGAGTGGTAACTATCACTCAGTCACAACCTGCCACCTGTGTGTTGAGCCAACACCAAGCCTGGGGCCAAACGAGACAGTTGCCCTTTAGGACAGCTGGATGATGTAGAGGCAGAGCCGCAGGAGACACTACTGTACACTAAGCCTGTAGGATCCATCAGGAGATTTTTTTTTTTTTCTAGTACCTGGGATCCAACTCGACCTCGCACTTGTCAGGCAAGTGGTTATGCCGCTGAGTTATGCCCCCAGCCCAGGGAGATTTCTTAAAAGGGGCAAACTGAACCTAGGTTGGAGGACAGTCTGGGCACCCTTCCCAGAGGAGGCAAGTGCCCAGCCGATTTTTTTTTTTTTCATTTATATATTTGGTCCAGTGTCTCACTAAACAGCTTGGGCTCGTAGCGATCCTCCAACTGTTTTCCACCTCCCCAGTGCTGGGATTACAGGCATGCACCACCACACCCGGAGTCTGTTGCTGGCTCAGGGGCGGGCTGGTGTGGCAGGTGGGACAGGGGATGGAACCCTGGTCCCTGTGCTTGCCAAAGCAGGTGTTGGCCCACCAGCTGACTTTTAAAGGGCAGGCAGGAGCTCGCTGAAGCGGGCTGCTCCAGAGTGACAGTCATGATGTCCACTCTGCCCTGCTGGTCCCAGGGTGGGAACTCAGCCTAGCCCTAGAGCAAGTAAGTAACTGAGCCTGGTGGCGCGGTGGCACACACCTATAACCCCAGCACCCAGGAGGCTGAGGCAGGAGGATCAGTGCAAATTCCAGGCCAGCCTGGGCAACATAGTAAGACCCTGATTCCAAAAACAAAACAACCAGAGATAAATAGTGTGACCAGCAGCTTTTTGGAGATCACCAGCATCATATGGAAGAATGATTTTCCTGTTGTGGATACATTGGTATGCTAGAATTAAATCCGACACATCCTTGATATTCCACCCCTACTCTGTCTTTTGTCATTATTTTTTTTCTTTCAGTTCTAGGCATTGAACCCAGGTCCTTCACGCTGAGCTACATCCCCACCCCTTTTTGCACTTTTTTGCAATCGGTCTTGTTAAGGTGCTAAATTGCCCAGCTTGAGCTCCCAGTTGATCTCTTTCCTGTCTCAGCCTTCTGAGTGCTGGGATTATAGGCATGCGCCACCATGCTGCAACTCAGATTCTTTTTAAAAACTCAAGAATTTCAAGGGAGCCTACCACTAAGATGGGCAGAGCAGGGCTAGCGAAGGACAGTCAGCGGGAGAGTGTGGCAGCAGGGACTGTTCAGTCACACTCTTCCTCCTCCTTTGTAAAGGAAATTCTTAGAGATACCAGCTCCAATCAGTCGCTGCAGTCAGACAGCTCTGAACATGTCGATGAGGCCCAAGTCAGTGCTGACAAACAACAGATCGGATCCCTGGGAGACCTGGAAGAGAGAATGGAGCCCGCCGAGTGTGACAAACGGGGTCAGAAACAGGGAGGTGCCAGAGGAGAAAGGGGTGACCCAAGGACCAGAAAGAAACTCTCTCACCTTGGCGATGAAGAAACACAATTCCAGGCCAAAGCAGGGGGCTCCAGGGAGTCCCTGGTGTCCAGATCCACAGAGGACACCTTGTTTCAGAAGGACGAGGGTCCCCAGGTGTACCCCTTGGTAAGTGCCTGGTGTGGAGGTGGCCTGGTGCGGGTGGGGTGCACGCGGTGGGGGGGGGGGGTTGGCCATTTGCATGCACATGGGGAAGACGCTCCACTAGAAAGTTTTGGGTTTTTTAGGCCGGGTCTCACTATACAGTTGGGTTCAGCCTGAACTCACCACAGAGCCCAGGCTGGTCTCAAGCTCTTGGGGTCTCTCCTGCCTCAGGTTCCCCAGTACTGGGGTGACGGATTTGCACCACCACAGCTGGCTCTTGTGTCTCTTGAAATTCAGTTCCAGCTGGCTGGCGGTGTGTGACAGACTGTGACCTCAAACACTCTGGGCTGCACAGTGTGACTGTGGGCAGGAGACTGCAGGCGTGGCTGCTGCGGCCTCTCCCCGTCCCTCTTCCCCCTTCCTCCCTCTCTCCCTGCTCCCCTCTCCTCTCTGCACTGTGACCCCCACTCCTCTCCATTCTCCCGGCCTCACCTCTGCCTTCCCAGCCCCAACCTTGGCTGGAAGGTGGCAGGTGTGGCCATCGCCAGCTTTGCTGCGAGCCCGGGTGCCATCCGGCACGGCTCAGAGGGGGCAGAGAGGGGCTTCTCCTGCTCCGTCTGCTGCTCTCTGAGAGTCACCTTGTGAGAGTCGTTCTCCTTGCCCTCCCATTCTTCTTTCCCCCCTTTTCAGGTAGAGAAATACAGGGGGAAGCTTAGGCAGTGATTGATGGTGTGCGGTACCCCTAAAGTGACATAGTTCCTAATGCAGAGAGCCCTTGAGAAGTCCAAAATGATGGTCAGATGTGGTGGCACATACCCATCATGCCAGCACTCGGGAGGCTGAGGCAGGAGTTTGAAACCAGCCTGGGATACATAGTAAGCTCAAGATGAGCCCGAACTACATGCCAAGATGCTGTCTCAGAAAACAAGTGACGCCAGGGAAATAGCGCAGCAGCAAAGGTGCATGCCTGGCAAGCACAAAGGCCTGTGTTCAATCCCTGGTATAAAAGAAAAAAAGAAAAAGAAAACTTAGTGAACGAATGAATAAAGCTAGCCATGGTGGCACACGCCTGCAATCCCAGCACTTAGGAGACTGAGGCAGGAGGATTACAACAAGTTCAAGGCCAGCCTGAACTATACCGAGACCATTTCATGCAAACAAACAAAAATAAAAATAAAATAATCATGTACTTATAAAACAGGATTCTCAGGAATATCCAAGATAATAAAATCTAGGGCCAGCGAGATAGCTCAGCAGACTAAGCACCTGCTTTGGCAAGCACAGGAACCGGGTTTGATCCCCAGTCTCACATGCTGTGCCATCCGGGCATGGTGGCACACACCTGTAATCCCAGCGCTGGGGAGGCTGAAAGAGTGACTAGGAATCTGAGCAGTGTAGTGAGACCCTGTACCAAATACATAAATAAAAAAAGATAATAAAATCTAGTTTTGGCAATAAACTTTTGCTTTTCACATTGTGGTGTTGTAGACCAGTGACGGCAGCGATGTAGAAGGCAGCCGGGTCCCGACCCTCTCTCTGCCCTTAAGGTTCGGCGCTGGCACTGGCCGTGCTAACTCGGCGAGAGCCGCAATTGCAACTGCTGCCGCGCGAGGTCGCCCTGTCCCCGCGGGTGAGGCCGGCTGGAGAAGGGCAGTCCTTTTAAAAAAAAACCCTGTCGCCTTCCTGGAGTAGACCGGGACAATGGTAAAGGAAACCCCAGGACAAGAAAGACGAGCCTTTAGGTCAGCAAGTTTTAAAAGAGCAATTGCATTTGCATCCATTGACTTTTAAGTACCAGCCGCAGAGGAAGTAACCCTGATCCTAGAAGCCGAGGTTTGAGAGGCCTGCGAGAGCTGTGATCCCTCAACTCCACCACTCACACCTGCACACCTCCCAAAGGGAGGGAGACTGTAGGGAATGCGTGGAGGGGACAAGAGAGGGGGACAGGAGAAGGCAGGACCGAGAACTTCCGCAGGAGAGAAAACGCGGCACAATCCCTGCTGTGCCCACCTTGGGATGGCTGTTGGGCATGTGCCCTGGGCTTGGAGAGGAAAGGGGGCAGCCCAAGTTTCCTTCTGTCTCCAGGGAACAGTTGGATGCTGGCATCATGGCCCCAGCCCGCACTTTCAGGGCTGTCCTGTGCCTCATTAGTTGGTCCGAGTTAAATTTTGTGGGTGTTTGTTTGTTTGTGACGGCCTTGTTTTCTATCTCAGGTTGGCCTCAAACTTGAGGTGACCCCTCCTGTTCAGTGTACAGTGCTGGGACGACAAGCAGCACCTCCATGCCCAGCTGTTTGCTTGCTTGCTTCTCCTTCTCCTTCTTCTTTTTCTCATTCTCCTTCTCCTCCTCTTCCTCCTTCCTTCCTTTCTCCTCCTCCTCCTTGTCATCCTCCTCCTCCTCCTCGTCCTCCTCCTCCTCCTCC